AGAAGTTTAGTTAACAATTAACTAGTCTATTATTTATACATTTTTTATCCAAAATAGATAATTATTAGCAGATAACTGCTATGTACCAGGATCCAAACAGAGCCTAGATAGCGAAGAGCAGAGGGTCCACCTCTGTGAGTTCGTCATCAGAAATTCAAACAAAAAGAACGTCTATACTGCATTTCAAAATAAAATGATAGGTTCCGGTCAGAGACTCGAGTATATAGTTGATGAGAGCCCTGACTGAGCACTGCACGAGCCAATCAGGATTTTTTTTTTGTTTTTTCTGCGAGGAACCAATCAGGACATGTTTTCCCCTACCAATGCCGATTATACATGCTCAAGGAACAGGAATCTTTCTCTGTGTCAACTCAACCGAGCAGGGATCTCGAGGCAACTGTGGAACGCAAGATCACCCAAAGCAAGAAAATGGAAGAAGATGAAATGGGAGGCTTTGTCTTACTACAAACAATGCAAGGTGCAAGAACTGAACAAGTGGTGGAGCTCCACCATGCCCCCCATGCCGCCGCAATGCCCACAGCTCGCTGGCTGGCTAGCCTCTGCACTGGGTGATGGCGGAGCAGCCCCGAGTGTAGGGGTTGGCGGCGCCGCCGGGGTGGCAGTTGTAGTAGGACGCGCCGCGGTACGAGCACGGCGTCTGGTCCTTCTGCAGCGCGCCGTAGCCGATGCTGCCGCCGTCGCCCAGCTCCCTCCTGGCCGCCACCGCGCACTCCGCCCCGTCGCCGTGCCCGTGCAGGCCGCCACGCCGCCGTAACCGTAGCCCACGTCCCCGCCCAGTCGTCGTCGTCGTGGTACACCGGTGCCGACGCGGCGGCGGCGCTCTGCTGCGCGTTGCCTGCGACGGCGAGGAGCACGGCGGCCACAACAAGCACTGCGAGCGCCGCGCGGCGCCGTGGCGGCGGCGGCAGCATGGCGCGCGTCCGGCCGGCCGCTTTATGCTGCAGACCTGCGCGGTAGAATGCTCTCCTGCAGGGCTGTGTTTGTTCTTGTTGTGTGTCCTGGGGTACCACGTTACCAGTGCCAGAGCTACCAACTTTAAAGATTCGAGGACAGTTTAGTTAGTTTAAAAAACCCCCGAGAAGATTGGATTTTAAATAAGGCGAGGCGTGTGGAAATTCGTAATCAATGTTAAACATTTTTAAGTTTTTATATACATTACACCTTCTAGATCCCCTGGTGAGCATGATAATATGATGCTTAAAGGAGGTGCTTCGTGAAAAAGCTAGGTTTATCTGAACCAATACCGATAGCGTAGCATGATGCTTTAACGGTGAACAAGGTCTGGTATGGATCATGGAGCTAATAGTTAGAGCATCTCTAATAGTTTCCAAAAAGACAATTGGTAAATCTATGAGTTTTTAAGTGGCTAAAAACATTTGGGAGGATATTTGTTGGCTTACTCTAAATAATTTTTAGTATCTCACTCCTAAAATATAGAAGGGAATTTTGCATCAGAAATCCCGTGCTATTTTGAAATCATCCTATTCACTTTTATACCTTCTTTCTCTCTTGTACATTTGCATTAAAAATCATGTCCTACTTCTTATACTGTTCCCCCACGTCCTTCCACCTCCAGATTGGCGCGATTGGGTCGATTTCCTAAGTACGAAAAGTTTGAGGGTTGAGATAGAGAATTGTTGAAGAACAATTTTTTTACAATTTTGCTAAAAAATTAAGATTGGGGTGGGTTTTGGAAACTCTTGGAGATGCTCTTGCTAATAGTTAGCTTTTTGGATCCAAACAGGTCTAGCCAATAGTTTAGCTAATTGTTAGTTGAACTAAACTAGTTAATAACAGCCAATATTTGTTAATAACAACTAATATTTGTTGGACTAAACTAGTTAATAACAACTAATATTTGTTAATAACAACTAGTATTTATTAATAATAGCTAATATTTGATGGACTAAACTAGTTAATAATAGCTCATGTTTGTTAATAACAGCTAATATTTGTTGGACTAAACTAGCTAATAACAGCTAATAACTATTTTATTAGTTGGACTAAACTAGTTAATAACAGCTAATATTTGTTATAAACTATTAGTTAGCTAACTATTACCAGCTAATAGATCCAAATAGAATCTAAGATGGCTCCAATCAACTTGGACTTATAATGTATGGCATGAAAAGAGCCTATTTTCCTTTTGGCCCCCAGCCACCAGTTCGTTTTGATGTGGTGCTCAACCGATCGATATGGTGCACCATGTTTCTTTATTCGATAATGATAGGACGCGGGCGACCATCCTGTCCCAACATCGCGCGTCTGGGCCTGCGGCCCAATAGAACAATCATGTCGAAGAAAAAGAAGGCCCGCATCGAGTCGCTTCCTCTGACCCTCGCCATTCCCACACCACACTCCCAGATCTCCGCTTCCTCCACGCCCCTCTCGCGTCGCCGCCGCCCCCTTCCTCCTCTCTGACGCGCGAAGAAGCAGCGCCTCCCTCCCATCTGATGTGCAACGCATCCCATCGCCGTCAGACGCTCGCGGAGGTGGGGCATGACCTTTTGCATGTGGAGGAGTGGCAAGTCCCGTCCTCGTCCGAGGTGCGCGAGGAGGCGACAGCGACGGTGGAGCAGCCCCAGCCACCAGGACACGACTATGGCACAAGCCAACGCGACGACGCCGGTGGGGCAACCTCGGCCAGTGCGGCAGTAGCGACGCTTCTCCAACAAGCTCGGCCCACTCCCCGCGGCGCTTCAGCCCGCCGCCCACCGCTGCACCTGTCGCCAGCCCCTTCTTCCTGTCCCCCGTCCGGCCTAAGCTCCCCGCCGGTCCCTTCTTCCCACCCCCGCCTGGCAAGAGCTCGTTGAAAGAAAGGAGAAAAATGCATGTTGCAATACTATGTTTTAGGTATTTTAGATGTTTCATAGGTATGTTGCAAATGTTTCATATACATGTTGCAAAACTAGATCGGGATGTTGCATATGTTGCAATCGTTGTACACGTATGTTGCAACCTTCTGTTCCCAATGTTTCATATGTTTTTTTCGATATATGTTGCAACTGTGTTTATATTTGGATGTTGCACATGTTTCACACATCTGTTGCAAGTGTTTTATTTGAATGTTGCATATGTTTTTACAATGGTTTTGAGGTGTTTTCGTAAGTGTTTCAGATGCATATTTTAAATGTTTCATCTATCTTCATACATATGCTGCAAGTGTTGAATCTGGAGGTTTCAAAAATAGATCGGGTGTTGCATCTGCATCTCCCTGTCTTCATACCTATGTTGCTTGTCGCCTGTCACGGGACAGCGGCCCACCGCAGCTGCTGGGCGCAGCCATGGGTCAACCCCCGTGGGCTTCCCCGTGCGGGTATGGGATGTGCGCGGTGCGCGGATCCTACGAACGGATGCGAGCGCGGGTGCTGTGCGGGATGCAGGGTGTGATGCAGATGCAAGAGCTGTGTCGTGCTAGGCGGGATACGGGGATGCGAGGCGTGGGGCGTTAAGCGGACGCGGAGCTACGTTCGGACGCGACATCCCGTTCAAACGTCCGAGCACTAGGCCTTCTGTTCTTTATTTACTGCATGGTGCCTTAGATCACACTTTCTCTACACAAGGAATAAGGAATAAGGTGCACGAGATTCATGCAATGTCGGTAGTAGGGTAACATGCATAGTAGATATGTATTGTGTATACGTGTAAGCCATTTTTCTAGATTTATTTTAGGACTTAACGGCGCTATGCTTTCAATAGTAGATGACGTCCCGTCGACAGCGAGACGTCTGTGGTCATAGGAATATGATTTACATACGTGTGTTCATAGGGGTGAGTGTACGTGCGTGTTGTGGACGTCTTCGCTGTACCATGTAATTTAAAAAAACGGACCCTTGCAGTTTTGGATCTGCCTCGTTGCGCTGTACAATGTATATTGACTTATTTTGCTTGGCTGGAATCTCGAGCGAAGAAGCTGGCTTGTTTGGTTGACTCGATCGTGCTTAGCTGCTGCGTTTAGCGGAACCCTCGGTACTTAACAACGTGGCATCCCTTTCAAATTCACAACAACAGCAACGTGGCATCGCCACCAGCCCAACCCACGTCCACGACTATGATTTCAGCCCATTTGTGGAAGACATGGGTCGGATTGAAAAGGCTACTTTAACTGGGTTGGTCTGGTTCTTAGTACAAAGGGAATGAAGAAACGGCTTGGTCTGGCCCCCCTTCCGCCCAATACTCAACAAAGACCGCACCTGACTAGGCCCAGTACGCTCCGTGTGGGCCTGCAGAGCAGCTTGATCAATCGGCGCTTCAAGGCCCATACATAACCGATCGCATTCTGAGTTTCTGACTTTAAACCGTGAATTTTCATCTGTTTCACCAAAATTTGATTTTTCTGGAGCCCAAGCTTATCCCTTTTTCTCCAAGTTTATTTACCCTGCTGCAATGCGATGCATGCTGCTGCTGCATCGGCAACTATTACAATCTGTCTCCGGTCTCCACTCTGTGATGTCTCATCTGAACTGGGAAAAGGCGACAAACTGATTGGATTCCGGCAAAATAAAACAGGACAAGATCAGGACCACTCACCTGTTCATCAATTTCTGAATGAACCACCACTCTTCTTACTTGTCCCCTACAAGTTACAACAATTTTCACTTCTTTTCCTTACGTACAGATGATTTCACAATTTCATTCGCAACCCCAAATTAGCATGAACAAACGTTGTTTGCACACGAATATAATGAACCAGGAGTTCTTGATCCATACATGTCTCGTTTTTCTAATGCCAATTACAAAATCATGGAGCAAGAAGCAGCTTGCTCTATATCAACAGATCAAGAATTAATCTCTCAAAGCCCAGCTAATAACTAACCAGCTACAGAACACACAAAAAACACCAATAAGACTGGAGAAAGAATCGATCAAAAGGAGAAGAAAAGAAAACAGGATTCGCCTTACAAGCTACCGCGGCAGGAACTGAGACGACGGACGAGACCAATGCATATGCATGACGGCCGTGATCATCGCTCGCTGCCCTAGCCTCTGCAGCGGGTGACGGCGGAGCAGCCCCGGGAGTAAGGGTTAGCCGACGCGCCCGGCCGGCAGTTGTAGTAGGACGCGCCGCGGTACGAGCACGGCACGCGCCCGCGGCTCATGGCGTCGTAGCTGATGTACCCGCCGTAACCCAGCTCCCTCCTGGCCATGCCGCCGCCGCAGACGCACTCCTCCACCGTGCCCGTGCACGCCGCGCCGCGATCGGCCCACCTGTCCGGATCCACCACCGTCGTCGTCGTCGTCTGGCCGGCCGTCCGCGGGGCGCCCGCGGCGACAAGGACAAGGGCCACGATGGCGACGGAGACCGCGAGCACGGCGCGGCTCGGTGGCCGGTCGACGTGCGCCATCCGTTTGCTAGCTGCCCCGGCGCGGCGGTGCCCGTGCGCGCTCGATCTCCTCCCGCTCAAGATGGGTGATATTTTTTCTTTTGCTTCTCAGCAAGACCCGATACTAACGGCTAATGGAAGTGAAGTGCTTGCTCGCTCGCTGGATCATGATCTCGATCCGTGACGACATGGCAACATGGTGCGCCTGCCGCGCGGCATTAATATACGGGGAGGCGTCTTGTCCGCGCGCGCGCCGCGGCACATGAGGCCACAGCTGCGCCGGCTGTTTCTGGCACGTCGGGGGCCGGGAGCACGTGCCAACGCTCCCGTTTCCTACCATATCTTGCTTGGATGTATGCTCCAGCTAGCTCCAGACACGGCTAGCCCTTGCTAGTTTTCTGTGTCTCATCTGCCCATCAGATCTGCAGGCTGGCTGCTGCGGCGGCGTTTCAGTCTCAAGTTAGTTTCTTTCTTTCTTTGTAAAGACAGCATCCAGTTTCGTTCCTTACCACTAGCGCAGAGAGCGTTAGGTTGATGATTCGTTTGTATGTTGTATGAGCATAGGTGTAGAAGATTGTTTCCCATTGCAATGTAGGTCTGGATTCAATGAGTAGATATATACTAGATAGCTGTATGCCATGCAATTTTAATGTGCCTTCATTTTGAATTAGAGACCATGAGTTTGGCCATGAGATTGATGCGTGCTCCATTACCATTACACTGTAGGTTAGGATTACAATGTAGGTCCTTGATTTATGGATCAATTATCCGTAGTTATTCATTTTGAGATTAACCTACATAAAGTTCAGTTTTTTTTTTGTATGAAGTACATGGACACAATCTTGTAACCTTGCATCATGGAGGTAGTGTGGAGACCGGTAAGTATGGTTATGTTGAGTTTATAATGGAACGCAAAGGGTGTCTATGCATGGTCTTCAGGACTCGACCATCATTTAGGTAGTATGGACAAGCTTAACCTTGCATGTGCATTTAGTTGAGGAAACTGTAAGCTAGTTGTGCACATATACGTCACTCGTTACTGCAAGCCACTTTCTAGTCTAGGTCTTTCATGATAAACAAAAGGGCCGAATTGGAACAAAAAAAAATATTGTGCCTTGTTTTATTCGTATCACTACTTCCACATGATCTCTGAAAACATGCATGCATGTGCATATATATGCATGTGTTTGCTCTTATTACATCGCTCAACTGCGCATAAATACTCATCAGTTGGATACTTTCAAATTGGGCGTGCCGAGCGGCGTCTCATCCCCAGATGACAACCTGCGCTCGCCGGATAGTGGTCTGACTCCTAGCGAATCGCCTCCTGGCGGACCACCTCCCGGCGGGCACTCAAAGGTACAGATGCATTGTTGGTTAAACGGGATCCGGCCCTTGCAATACCCGCCGACACCGAGGCCATGTTGAACGCATGAGTTTGCACAGTCCTTATTGCTCATGCATCGTCCGTGGTAAAAACCATTACGCCTGCTGCAGATAGCTGCCTCCGCACCTACGTACAATCATAACCCGCTCAGTGATTAGGACCATATGCATCACATAAACTCGATCTTGAACAGAGCTTCACAGTAATATATAGCTCCATAGTACAGGAGGTATGTCACCAAGTGTCCAGATAGGAGCAGTTTTTCCTTTAGTATTTCAACGAACTTCATAAGCATAAAGGTTGTTTTAGTTACTTACAATAGGCCACAAGGAGCAAGGCGAGGATGAAGACAACAGGCGCCGCTACAATCTTGTTAGATGCCATGGTTATTTGGTGTGAGGAAAAGAGCATATACATGCTCAATATTTATAGTGGTTTCTTAGGCCTCTGGTACATTCAGTGTTCTAGCTAGATGGCTATCTCTACCTCTATATCTATCTAAGTCTTAATATATATATAATCTACTCCCTCCATCTCAGAACGTAGCTTCATTTATCATTTAAAATTTGCTCAAAATACAACTATGTTTGACTTTCTGGGGGATTTAAATGGTGAACAGAATAGCTATACTACCCTTCCACTTGATTTATGAGCACAATTAGTGGAAATAAATGCTAGCATACTAGCATGCATATTTATAATTAATTACCATTGACACATGCAAGGCAGGCATAGCTGCCATACATAAACTACACGCACATGTAGGGACAAGTTTAGTGCAGACCATATTACAGCCTGTTCGGCAGCCTGTATCTGGCTTATAAGCCTTGGTTTATCAGCCAATCAACAGTATTTTCTTCTCACACCAAACCAGACAGCAGTACTTTCAGTCATGGTTTATAAGCCAATCCAACCGAAACGAACAGGCTATTAGTCCTTTTACTATTGTCCTTATTAACCTGTCTGAAAATATTATTAAGTGATTCTCTGTCTATCTATCTGCCTATCTATCTATCTATCTATCTATCTATCTATCTATCTGCATCAAACTACTATCTGTCTATCTATCTACATATCTATCTATCTATCTATCTATTTATCTATCTATCTATCTATCCCTGTCTGTCTATATGTTATCTGTGTGTCTTCATCCATCCATCAATCCATCTATTTGTCTATCTATCTAGTGGATTTTGATTTGTCCTAGTCAAACTATCTTAAAGCTGACAAAAACATTATTTTATTTTTTGTATTCTCATATGAGCTTTTTTAGGTGCGAAACTTTTAGCCTAGCGTGGAATTCACGTTATTAACTTGATGTAATTTTTATGGGATTTATTGTGGAGAACTGCTTACAAAATTAAGCTACGGTAATTTTTATGAGCTTTTTTAGGCGCGAAATGTTTCATGTCCCAGTTTCCAAGAATCAAATGTGTCAGAAACAGTGTTGTTGACAAGTTTCATCCCCATGAGACTCTTCATCTCATAAAACTTCTAGCATCTCTCTCTTCATCTATACTATACCATGTCAACTCATGTAATGCCATTACACTCCCACGAAACCTCCCACTAAGACTAACCTAGTATGTATGTTGCATTGAGAACCTTGAACTATTACTAAATCAATCTAGCCTGTCTTTATTTTCTTTCTCTCTAGCACTTTCTCAACTAGAACCCTCTCTTCTTATCTATTCTTGACAGCAGCATCTCAGTCTCCTCTTCTCCCCGTTGGCGCAAGGAGAGGGAACCTTGCTAGTGCGCCGGAGAGTTCCAGCCAGAGGGAAGGTAGGGTGGTTGCCCAACCTCGCCCTATGGGTCTGTCAGCCTCTGTAACAGGGAACATAATTTACAATAACAAACGAGACCCAAATATTGGACCTAATATAATTTGTCTTGATGTGCACTCTAATCAGAATAAAGAAAGCATTCACATATCCTCTTTGCATGGTTAATGTATGAACAAATCTTCGCTTAGTTTACATCCAGACTATTTTGATTGGTCCAATTTACACCTGAATCCGAATCCGAGTAATATTATAGCTATTTGTAGCCGTAGTCGTATATATCCATCCGTATCCGATCTGTTTACACCCCTACAACATTGCTTTGGGTTAAAGAAACAGTGGCGTTACTCGTTTGCTTTCACTTCACTTTCATGGGGATTCTGAGGCGCGCACAACCATCGGTATCAGTTATTAACTAACCATAATTTGGAGTCCATATCTGGCGTCCGTCGGGCAAAAACCAAATAGCAAAGGTGTGCTCTAGTAATTCTGTACTTGCAGCCTCTCGAGTTGTGTGAACTCTGAATTTCCAACTCTGGAGCCCTGATGCCAAATGTGCACATATAGTGGCTTGTCGTATCTGTTGCCGCTAGGAGTATTATCTGTTTTGTTTCGTCCTTTGCTTTGGTTTTCGTCTCTAGGCCCACATGTTGGAACACCAATACACGAGTAGCATAGGCCAAAGTAAACATAAGCTAATATCGTTGGAGCATTTGTGGATGTTTTGCAGGGATGCTAGACAAAGCCTTCGCGTTGGGCCTGTGATGGAGCGAAGACCCCAGCGATTCAAGTGGAGGCCACGCATGCTTCGGGGAGAAACCTAGAAAGCCTCCGCCGGCAGCAAGAAGGAGGCTCGAGCGCAATCCTAAAAAGACGTCCAAAGGAGTCAACGGGTGGAGACTCAAAAGCGAGAGCGAAAGCTCCGATGGCTCTGGCGGAAGCCTTGCTGTCTTCACCAGAGAAAGGGGCCTTCACAGCACCGCGGCCCAAGATTGGAGATGGGCTTCCAGTGGGCCCAAGGCTAAGGCCCAAGAAGCAAAGGCGGTGCAGGGGGAGAAGACCTGGGATGCCCCTAGAGATTTGAACTAGTGTTAGAATATTCTAGGAATATACCTTAGCTGTCAAAGGGCAAACTTATACCATGAAGAAGTAGCCAATAGTGCCCTATAAAAGGGAAAGCCGAATGCTATGTAAAGGAGGTTGGTGAGTTCATTAATGAAACCTTGACTGAGCCTGGGCCCACCCTCCATTTCACGCACCTTGTCCCAGAGCACTCGTCTAGGCGAAGGCCTTCTGTCGAGGACCAATACTAGGATACCCGAAGAGGAGGAGCTAATGACCATCAACATTGATTCATCCGAGCAGTCAAGAGCGTGACTACATCTCCACCCGACCCCAAGGCCGCAGGCTCTGCCTCGCCCAACCCTTGGGTTTGTGCTCCGCCTCGCCTGACCTTTGGGGGCGGGCTCCGCCTCGCCCAACCCCAAGGCCGCGGGCTCCGCCTCACCCGACCCTAGGGTTTGTGCTCCGCCTCGCCCGACGTCTGGGGGCGGGCTCCGCCTCGCCTGACCCCTAGGCCACGGGTGTGGCAGAACCACCCAAAATAACGCACTTACGGAGGCGCTTGTCTTCCACTGACACTAAGCGCCCCGAGAGCGAGCTACATCGGGCGGGTTTCGTCGAGCACACCCCAAGGGAGAGCCCGAATGATCCACATTTTTCCAAGGATCCAATAATGAGAACGAGTTTACATTGCTTAGTCCATTTCATACATCCAGAGTTCTTAAAAATGGTATTATTATATCACCAAATTCAGAGTGCGGAATATTAAACAGCCAAATGAAAATAAA